GTTATAAAGATTTTATTATTTAATTATAATAATAAAATTATATTTAAGTAAATATATTAAAAGTAAAAAATATAAAAAAAAAAGAAAAAAAAAAGAAAAGAAAAAAAAAAAAAAAAAAAGAAAAAAGGAAAGAGAGAAAAAAACTAGCCCTAGCAAGAATTGAAGTTACTTTTCCGTAATTTGACCCTTTGCCTGTTATTCCCATGAACCCGAACCGGCTTCCGTCAGATGTTTGGCATAGCTTGCGGAAGCGCTGACAACTAAACCAACACTCGTTCACCTCAGAGACAGTACTCACCAAAGGAACCTCTCATCAGGCCAAGAAAATGAAACAAGAGAAAGCCCACTCATTTTCGTCCTGCTCGCCAAGTGCAAATCGGACGAGGAATGAATCGTAGTTGTCGTCCTTGTTCACCTCAGAAGTCGCGAGCCTTTTCCAAGTGTCGCCTCAAATGGGGCCTTTGGCGGAGTATCGTGAACTTCCAACGGGTCACACCTGCCACTCGCTCCACCAACTCGAACGAGGAGGGTCCTGAACAGCCAAATAAGTGACCGCGTTCTCGGGACGGTAGTCTTCTTTGTTCCCTGTTTTTTTTTTTTTTGCTTCCTTCAACAAAACCAAGTGTGACGGGTGTGATTGAATCATGGTGAATGACAGGTCGGCAAAAAAATTTAGGACTACCAAAGTCCTGCTTCAATCGTGGTTATAGGAAAAGCCCGATGCGGGGGTCGAACCCGCAGCCTTGAGATTGTGTGAATGCTCTTTGTTAAGAGTCTCACGCTCTACCGATTGAGCTAACCAGGCCAAATCTTGTGATGCTCTCGAGGCAGTAATTTTCACTTTCGTTTGTGGCTCCATTCACGAGATCAACAACGGAGAGGCATAATCCAAACAGTAGTAATGGCATGCATCTTGTAACTTCGCACTTGGGGTATATAAAATCAACAATTAGCCGGACCTGCTTGACATGGGCATAAAATTTTGTAAATGCCGACATTATAGGGAAATACATTTTGTCCATAATCCAGCCCGCGTACCAAAAACACATGCTGTGTCAGAGCAGGTAGCGATAGTCGGGCGCGTTATCACCAAGATCGTCCTTTTCCTCCTGCGTCAGGGACGCCCCCGCGTCAGGCGGCAGCTGATTACGCTTCCGGTTTGCATTCCAGCACATGTAGCCGTAGACACCGCACGCCGCGGCCGACAGAACGAACCAGGCGAGACAGACGCTGTAGCCGGGGACGAAGCGGGGCGAGTCGCGCTGGAGGAAGACGTAGACGGCAATGATGCCGCCGAGGTTTCCGAAGCCGACCTGCCAGGCGCTGCCGATGGCGCGGCGGTGATGGCCACCGAGATTCATGTTGAACCAGCAGACGATGATGGGCATGGCGGTGTAGGCGCCGCTGGCGACGAGGAAGAGGGCAGCGTACTGGACGCTGGTGTTGTCGTGGACGCCTAGGAGGATGGCGAAGCCGGCAATAGCGATGGAGATGGCGGCAAGGGCAAAGGCGAGGCGGTGGCGGATGCGGTCCGAGACGTAGGCAATGGCCATGGAAAAGACAAAGGCGACGGCCCAGGGCGGGACACTGCGCAACTGCGTCTCAATCTTGCCGTAGTGGAACGTCTGCAGGATGCCCGGCGCAAAGTAGGCGTAGCCGTAGGCGGGCACGATGATGCCAAAGTAGGCGAAGCCGCCGGCAATGACCTTGGGGTCCTTGAGGACAGTGAGGATGTCGCGCAGCTTGATAGTGCGCTCGATGGCGTGGTTGCCCTGGTCGGCGGCGAGGCGCGCCTTGACGTAGGTGCGCTCCTCCTCGGACAGCCACTTGACGTCTTCGGGAAAGTCGGGGAGGAGAAAGTAGATGAAGAAGCTGACAAAGACGGTGAGGCCGCCCTCGAGGATAAAGATCCAGCGCCAGCCCTTGTAGCCGCGCAGGCCATCCATCTTACCGATGGCGGCCGCGAGGAGACCGCCAAAGGCGCCGGCGAGGGTAGTGCTGTTAAAGAAGAAGGAGTAGCGTTTCTGGGCCTCGGAGCGCTTGTACCACATGCCGATGAGGTAAAAGGCTGAATGTAGTCAGTACAAGGTCAAATTGTGCAGTTGTCATTGCTCTGGAAAGAGAGAGGTTCAAGGCTCACCTCCGGGAAACATGCCCGTCTCAAAGACACCGAGAAAGAAGCGCGTGGCTAAGAGGCCGCTGTAGTTGGTGACGAGACCCTGCATTATGGTGGTGAAGCCAAAGAGCAGCATGTTGATCGAGAGCCATACGTGGGGCTTGAACTTTTTGAGCAGAATATTGGAGGGGATCTCCAAAAGGCAGTAGGGAACGAAGAAGATGACAAGCGCCGTATTGTACTTTGTGCTGTCGGGATTTCCAGGCTCCTCGAGGTGAAGGTCCTTGGCGAGGTCAAAGACTTTGGCATTGGCAATGTTGACGCGATCTAGCAGGGGAGAACAAGTCAGCGAACCGCGCGCGCGCGTCGTCGAAATAAAAAAAGACGGCGTGTATGGAAGCGCAGCAACGTACCCAGAAAAGCGAGCAGGTACATGATGCAGAGAAAGGGCACGACGTGGAGGTCAATCTTGGTGAGGATGCGGCGCTCGGTGGTGCCTGCGGGGACGGGGATCTCGCGGACAGGCTCGGCGGCCTCGAGGACGACGGCATTGTCGTTGGAGGAGCCGTTGAGCGAGCCGGCGCTCGACTTTTCGTTGGTGACGGCGACGCCCATGGTGAAGGATGGGCGTGGGAGGCAAAGTGTTGGTCGGGATCGTGGATGATCAAGTGGTGGGAGTGGGAGAGAGGCGTGTTCCGGGGACCAGACGGCTCATATTCTTTTCCGAGTGCTCAGTCATCTGAAGGGAAAGACATTAATAGCTCTGCGATGTCGGTGCTCATTTGGCTGATGGGTTCTTTGTTATTTAGTTAGCTTGGGAGCTGGCTGGCTGGTCAGCGGCGAGCCTGGTCGGGTGTGGATCTGATGGCGCACTACTCCGTTCTCCACGCCTAAAGGTTTCTGGGGCGCTGGGGATAGGGCCGAATTTTACACTCTTATTTGCTCATTACTTGTTTAATGTTGCAGCCAGCCGAATCGCAGGGATAAAGTTTGACCATATTTCCCCACGGGCTCAGCGTAGTGACCTGCGGCTGAGAAGGCTGGACTGGTTTGTGGCTTGCCGCCCCCGCGTTGGGTTCAGTTCCGAACCCATTGCCGGAACCCTGCCCTGGAATAATAGAAGAAGAAGAAAATTCTCAAAGGCTAAATATTCCACTAGGGTCGGTTCCGAAGCGGGTGCAGCGACACATGGCTCCGGTGATGGTTATTTGGTGCTGTGGTTCTCACTGCAACCACACTCAAGACGACAGCTGCCGACCCTTCCGGACAGTGGTAACTAGAGGCAGGTCCTAGTCTACAGGCAGTTGTGGGACATTGAATGTTGAAACTAAAAAAGGCAGAATTTCGCATTAATTCATTCGTACGGGCGTCGTAGTGGGTGCGGGTATCCAGACACTGGCCCGTTGGCCGCGGACCCTGATCAGTCTGTCTTGACACTAATAATGAATATTTAAATATTGACAACCGTAGAAGACAATCTTGGTCGCAGGCCGTTGCACCTCAACGACACTCCAACGCGACCAGACCGGCCCAACCTCAGCCACAGCGCAGTTCCGCTCTTATGTAACTAGGTAGGTGCCTTAAATCCTCGCGTCAGTTTCAAATGTCTGCGTTTGTAGTCCTACAGCTGCCGCACGGCACACGACTGATTTAGTTTCTCTTTCCTTTTCTTTTCTTTCTCTACACACTTTTCTTCTTTCATCCTACATTCTACAAAGGTGCAAACAAAGCTCAACTTTTTCATTTCCCCGCCGCAAGCCACCGTCCCCCCACGATAACTCCTTCAGTCTCGTCCGCGTTCCGCCCGCCCTGACGCCACCAAAAAAGTCAGCTTTGTCCGTCTTTGTTCCACCACCAGCCCGCTTCGGTTCAAACACGACATGGTTACCGCCAGCAATCACTCAACAGTTAGCCCCGCGATGATATACTTCTTTTCAAGCCACATACAAGCCGCTATTCATCAACATATTTCTCTCCTAATTTATACATCAGCTCACACGTAGCTGTCCCATTTCCTCCACGTCTTTATATCTTGCCATCCCCGCCAAACCGCTTCCACCGCGGTAATAATGCGGCGATCCGGCTTCGGTGCTTAGCCGTTGGTAGCTGCTTCTCTTTTCCATTGTTGACGCATCTTGCATTTTTGTTGACGCTCATCGCATCTTAATCGCTGATCCCATTGGCACCCAGCCCTTCCTACCGCCGGATAATGCGGTCCTGCTTTGTCGCGACAAAAGCGCCACCAAACAACATGCATGTCGCAGGCCGAGATCGACGCTACCGCTGCATGCAACCCAGATTCCTGAGCCACATTGTCTTTGTATATATTTTCATTGCCTATAAATCGTGGAATAGTGGAAGAAGCATGGTATGCTTGCATCAGAACCGCTGCCAACTGGATAGTACAGTGCTTGCCTCCAGAAACGCTTGCGTGTGATGAAAGGAAGTCTAGAATCAGAAAATGCAAATAATGCTAAGTAATTTAATGCATTAGATATCGCTGGCTCGAATAACATTACGTTCACCGACGTCAACCTAGACGTGTAGCTTAACCAAACACCTCGCCAGCCAGCCCATCGTTTTCCTTTTTTACCTGTGGCTGCATATGCATGCTCGCATTTAACAAGAGACTTCGATTCACATCATTCTGACCTTTCGCATACCGACACTATCACGGCAAGCTGCGCCTCGATAAAGAACCCCACCGAGCTAAGCGCCGTTTGCACCTTGTGAGTGAGTGTACGGTGAGAAGACATAAACATACTAATAAGATAAAAGTTGCTTAAATTCACGGGTCCCCTCTTTTTAAATACTCACCTATAATACCACGAAATCTGTTAATCCAGTTCACTCTATTTTAGTTCACTGATTCTTCTTTCGATACACACTCTCCCTCTTCTTAGTTACCCTCTACTTATGGCTTCCATCTCCCTCTAGGACTTGGATCCGCAGCACTTTCTGGCATATCGAGAGTATCGAACCTATTTGATCTCTGTCTCTCTATCTCACTCATTCTATGTTTTCTTTCACTATGGCCGGCTTTGCTGCGAGTGGAGATTCTCGCACCCAAGGCCTCCCTGATCAACCCTCGGAGTTCCAAGACATCCTCTGGAACTTGGTCGACGACTATTACTCAGAGGGTAATAATAGTGACCTGCCGATTAACTTCAACGGCGGTGACTGTGATCTAATGATGCCCTTTACAGAAACCTACGTCAAGAATGAAGCCGGCATTAACGGAATTAGTTCAGACGGGAGATCATGGCCCGGCTATACTTATATTCCAGGCCTCACCTTGCTCGGACAAGATCCCATTTTCCCTACATCAGACCCCTATCCAAGGTAAGTTAGGGTACCGAGTACCAGCTCACCAACGATAAAAACCGGCTAACAGACCTGTAACTAGTCCCAATGCTTCTTCTCCTCTCTACCAATCGGCAGATTCGGTCGTTGAGGCGCCAACGCCACCCTTCAACTTTACCGCCCTGAATACCGACACGATGGCCTACCATAGCCCAGCAAGCGACGTCTCCTCAATTACCGTCACGCGGGCTCCCATTCCCACCGTTGCTCCGCCATTGCCCACCTCGCCCGTCCGCCGCAAGCGGGAATCCTCCACTGGCTCTTCCACATCCACCGTTGACGGCGGCGGGCGCATCACTAAGCCAAAACAGAGGCTGATCAAGCAT